CTTTCACTCTTGCATTACGCAGCCCTATAGCTATCAGCTCAGGCTGCCAGTGTTAGAGTAAGAAGAAATTCTGGCTGCATTACTTTTTGCTCTCATGAAGCAAAACTGCAGTTGTCTCTGCTCCCAGAGTGAACACTTCTTGGCAGCAAAGTGTCTGCTCTCCTCCTGCGTTGTTACAAATGATGTTCAATTGCATCCTCTCTTCCATGCACAGCTGTGACTAAGTCATCATCTTTGAAACGTTTTCCCAAGATACTTTTGTGTCTTCCAAGAAGTTCTGCTTCTCTGTGTGGCGGATAGCAGGCAAAATTAAGGAAGTTTGGGCAGCCTTTATATTTCCTGCTTTATAAGCAAGAAGTATGAAGGTAACATAACTTGGAACAGCTTATTTTCATTGGAATGCAAGTGCTTTTAGTATGCTTTAGCTCATATTGATTGGTCCATACCCTGTTATGAAAATATTAAAAAAGGAGTATTTACATCCTTTTTTTCAGTGGAAAGTGACCCTACTTAGGTTTGGTTGAAATGCACTGTGGTTTGTGATGCTAAAAATGAATTTACATTTTAGCATTAGTTTCACATTCTTTCAAGAATTCAAATCAGTATTCACTTGTCTTGCTTGGCTTTATGCAGATAACAGTTCCTCAGGGAAAAAAACAGATGATAAAAATGGAAATGGTGTAATTGTGCCAAAGAGAGATCAGCTCGGAGATGGTCGTCCAGTCCCAGAAACAGGTAAGTCTGACCACGTGAAGTCATTCTAAATTACATTAGAATTTTTCAGTCAAGTAACACAGACCCAGACATTACAGTCAAGAGCTGAACAGTGTGCTTCCATACTCTGAACCATTCTCAGCACACACAGTCACACATTTTAGTTTCTCAGTGTGAGTTGCACCAAATATTATCACCAAACTGATAGGCCAGCTGTATTTTTATGGAAGAATTTGAGTTCTTCCTCCACTGTTTCTTCACTGTATTAAGCATAATCTCTCTTACCCTTTCTGTAGGTGCTGTACTACCTTTGGCCTTAGGTTTGGCCATCACTGCTCTACTGCTGCTTATGGTTGCTTGCAGACTACGTTTAGTGAGACAGAAGCTTAAAAAAGCTCGACCCATTACATCTGAAGAGTCTGATTACCTCATCAACGGGATGTATCTCTAAAAATCAGATTTAGGTCTGTTGTTTTCTTCCCTTTCTTTTGTGTCCATGAACCTCTGCCTCTAAAAAAGGACCAAAATCCTTAGTTAAGTTTCAAACGTAGAAAAAGCTTCCATGATAAGGAAACATGTTCTCCCCCTTCAGTGATGAATACAGATGTGGATGGGCGCCTGTATTCAGAAGCTCAGAAGCGTTCAGGCTCCAGAGGGTAATTCTAGCTGGCTGTAGAAATGCCATGAGATGGAGAATTCCCCAGGGGACTTGGGATGCCCTCATCCTCCCCATGGCTACTGGGGCCCTAAGGTCAGATTGCTGGGGCAGCCAAGGCCAGCAGGTCCCCGTAGCATTAGCAGGGACAGAGGACAGCTTGCTACCACCCTGCTGCCACCAGCGTGCTCTGCACTGAGTACTGGGATGCTGTAGACCAACATGAGCATACGATCCAGCAGAGATGGATCCATGCACTTTCCACCTCAGACACTTGGAATGTTATCATAAAAAAAAAAATTGTTCTGCTTTGTTAACTAAAAGCAATTGCCGTCTAAGCACCAGCATTTGTATTGACATTTGGGATTTAAGGAACGGAACACATTTTGCATTCATAGTTTAAACCTCTGAGCAGCTAGCAAAGTCATGCTTACTAAATGTAAAATGAAAAAAGCAAGTACTTGAAGTTGGGACTTACCAGTGCCTGACAGCTGTTGTATGTGATCCCAGAGCTACATCTCTCCCCATATGGCAGGCTTCAGCCTTTTGTACCCACAGCTCAATGTGCTCCACCCTGTGAAAGAGCACTTGGCAGTGGCTGTTCTTCAAGGCACCAGCCCCAGCCTTGCTACACAGACTGGTTAGCAGCATTGGTATTCTGCTGGGTAAAAACCAAAGTTAATTCTAGGCAGATGGGCACAGTCAGTGAGACTGACGCTTCTGGCAGAGTGATTAAAACCCGGCCGTGCTTCCCCCATAGCAAGGGATTCGTGCTGGTTAATTCTTAGCTCCCTGCAATGCTTGAAGGCTTCAGCAATGTGTCCCCATCCCAGCAAAATTCTCATAGAATTAGAGCAAGTAATCGATATGTGTGAGTGAACTTCAGATGTGTTAACAGTAAATTGTGTACAGTACATGTTATATATACATATATACATATAGACACCGTGCTGTCTACTTTGTTTGACTGTCCAAGGATGTCGCTTTCATCATGGGTCCCAGTAGAAATGGAGGCAAGACGAGGCATGCATCTTTTTGTATGTCGTCTTTTTACTTCAGTATCTTCAAATCTACGAGAATATTGCCATGGTATACAAATAGTTCTTTGAGTTGCTCAGTCCTGATTACTTTATGGAAAATAGCTCTAATAAACCTATTTTATTCATACATTTCTTGCACTGCGTTTATCTTCAGCTACCAGCTAAACGTTCTTGACTTCCTCTCAGCTGTTAGGAGAGCTCAAAGTATGATACTGTGGGCAGACAGAAGCGTGTAGAACAGCCTCTATGAAATGGCCTTAGAAGAAGCTGGGATATGCGGTGGGGGGAACGTAGGGACATTTTGTTGCAGGAAGGCTGAGAAAGAGAGAGACAGACCTCCCCTCTTTATCCATTGCTGGTATCAAGAGCAAGGCTTGAGCCGTGCAACACAGCAGCTGTGGAAGTTGGACTGCCAGCAATGCTTTCCAGGGCCCTCCTGCTGAGTGAGGAAGAGTCTGATTGTTCAGACTGCAGCAATTTATGGCAGGAGTCTCTCTGCTGCTATCATCCATTTCTAACCTGGAAGTACAGCTCCTCTTCCTACAGCAGGCATGGCAAATTGTACAAGATCCAAAAGATCGTGTTATAAACATAGCCATCCAGAAAAGATGCACTGCCCACCTGCTTAGGGTGCATTTCCCATCACTGAAAAAATCATTCTTTGGCTTTGTTTGCAGTTTAGTGAAACAGCAAATCCTTCTTCACCATCTCCCCACAGCAGCAAGAAAAGCAGTACAGCACTTGGCAGCAGCTACCACTGTGTTGCAGTTGTCTGCCCAAAGACTTCTAAGAGGTGGTGGTGGGATTTGCTGCTATGCAGACCAACACACTAAGGTAACTGGAAACTCCCCAGCTAGCCTGAAATTAAGAAAAAACTCTTGCGCTTCACCAGAAAGGGTGGGCATCGTCAGCCATATTAAGAGCAAGACAAAGCCAGCTCAACTCCTGCAATTTGTACAAAACTCAGTAACATTCATTTTCTACAATTTATTTGCCTTCAAATGAGTGACACCAAATCATTGAGCAGAAGCACACCTGAGCACATCATGCTCTGCCCTCCCCACCGACTCCTGCAGCCCTCCTTGCAGCTCCCAGGGCTGACTGCAGACCGCCCAGCCCAGCTGCCTTCCAGCACCAGTGTCCCTTAGCCAGAGAAACACAGAACACAGATTGTTCTGATGGCATACACCTATGGATGCTACTTCTCTGAGTATTATGAGAGGTCATCAAATTGTTTCATTGGTGTTTTAATACTGATCAAGGTACACATTTTGGTTACATTGCTTTTCTCTATTTTGAATTATTTTGCTTTTCAGACACTTACATACACATAAGTGTACAATCCATTTTCAAGTACCAGGCAGTGCCTACCTGAATTGTATCTGCAATTAGGAATCCCATTTTTTTATGCAGTCCCATTCTGAATAGTCTTGGCCTGAAGGCCCCACACATTCCATAGTCCTGCAGCATTATGGAGGGGCAGTTCCAGAAGCACATTTGCAAAACAAGAGTGCTGAGACAGATCAGCGTGATGCTCCACTTGTTTTTTAAACCCTAAATAAAGCATAAAGTTCCAGTCCAAACTGCACACGGTGGGTAGGTGGCGGGGAACCAGGCAGCACAAACACAGCACAACACAATGACCTCCCCATGTTCGGAACTGATTGTTTTGTTTTCTAGGGGCAAAAGCTGAAAGTACAAGCAATGGGAAAAAACTAGAAAAGATTCGAAGAGAGCTGACAGATCACAGAGGCAATTGTGATTACTCTGAAAGAAAAATAGAGCCCACAAAGCAGTTTGGTCAGAGTAAGAAAAGGCAGAAGTATTTGTCAACAGGGAATATTTGGGGGAGAGGGAGATATGTAGAATTACCTTTACTGTGTATTTTTCAGCTGCTAGTTAGCTCAGGTAGGACACAAGAACACAGAGCTATGAGTACACGTGCAATACAGCAGAAACACCTGCAGGGCAGCAAATGCTCTGGACCTCTGGAGCACAGAGAAGCCTGCAAGCACTGAGCCACCACAGAAAGCCATCACAGAAATAACCTTTTATACGTTTCAAAGCATGTAAACCCATTTTAAAGATGCCAGAGCAGGAAATTTTAACATAGTTTTTCATACCTTCCAGTTCCTAATGCACAAAGGAGATGGCACTGACATTAAATTCAAAACAACTTTCTTCAGCCATGCTGTTCCCTACAACTGCACTGGATCAGCGATGTCCATAACTACCTAGCAGTACTGTAGTTAGAAAGGAAAGCCCAGAACCCTACAACTAGACAAGCCGGCTGCCCTCAGCCAAAGAGGAACAACACTGCACACACACACAACTCACAGGCCTGGTGAGAACCCACTCGTGTGCTCTCTGAACTCAATGGTGTCCACTGCAAGAAACTCCAATAAGCACCATACAACTGCATTTGCACGCCAGACTTAGTAACTGCTGCCATGTGCTGCAGCACATTAACTAAAAATGGACACATTTCTGGTCATATAGCATTTCCTATATAGGCTTGCTTTCTTATTGGATGTGCGATGTCTTGTGAAGGAAAGATTTTAGAAATAAAGAAATAAACCCAGACATCTAAATACAGCTTCCTCTCAATTTATTTGGCAAAGTAGCAATTCAGACATTTCACACAGCATTTATTCAAGCTCTTCAACTCTTCTGCACATCAACTTGTCCTCTTCTCCAAGAAGCTTGTACTTCAGAACCATTGCTCCACCACGAAGGGGTCTTCATTCCCCAGTTCCTAAACGCTGCCCCTGCATGCTACGCTCTGCCCAAGCACCCCGACTGCCACCAATTCCTTCTGCAGAACAGGTGCCTCGTCGCAGCCTTGGTCCCTTAAGTGTTCTCCTCACAGAGCTGTTGCCAGGTCTCAGCTCTGTCACCTCTCCTGCCTTAGGCTAGCTTGTTACTGTGTCCATAGACAAGAATTTGGAGACAGTTGAGCTCTTATCTTTCCTTTGATTGATTAAATTAGTGAGATGATGTAAATAAAGCTGAACTCAAACTGAATGATACAGTGACCAAAAGGCTGAACATTAGCATGCATCATTTAAGATAGTTCACTTCAACACCAACAACTAGATTCACAGTTGATTGTGGGTTAGTACAAATTCGTCAGACGCAGATGGGTTTTTCTGAACTGTGCTTTCTAGAATACACGCTGTAGTAATTCCTTTATAAGACTAATCCTTGTGTGTGTGTGCTCCCAGGCTGTGGTCAGATCAGGAGGTGGTACATTGACTTCCAAACATTTATGTGAATTGATACATCACTTTCACACAGGAATGGGACTGTGCTGACCTTCACGGGGAAGGTTATTTAAAAAGTTAACTTTTTCAGACCCAGAGGCCTTTGAATTTTTTAGCCTTTGTGCTTTCAGTGATTAATCCTATCACAAAATATCGCTGTTCCGCCACAGACATCCAAATGCATTTTACAGTGATCACAATGGCTGTGTTTATACTGGTTATTTTATTCTATAATCCTTTTTATCATTAAAAAGAAAACAACAACATGCTGCCTACAATATTTCCCAGTTGCTCCGATCTGAGCAAGAAGAATCAGACATGCCTCTCCACTTTTCCAAAACAGCTCAATTTGCTGTACTGCTTTGCATTTTCCTATACCAAAACAGAAAACTTGGGGCAGAAAAAAAGATTTGTAGCCTTCCAACTATTCTTTTATATGAAAATTGAACAACTGTAGGTAAGAGTCCAGGATTCTCTACTCCTTCTGCATGTATCACATTTTCCTTGCATAACAACAGTTTGCTTGTCAAAAGAATGGAATTTTTCCAGAGTGTCCAGAGTCAGAAAAAAAAGAGAACATTAATTCAGCATGTGGCCTTGTCAAAAGAACTAGACTAGATATTGATCTGTTTCCTATTTTTAAATAATGCAAAGATCTGTATGTCTGCCACATACTGATCGTAGTCCTCCACACAAGCACAATCTCCCTCTTGTTTTTAGCCTTATTATCCCAGTGACTGGGATGCAGCTCTCATGTATTTCTGGAGGTAAATCTATGTTTACTGTAACAGCAGTGAGCTGTAAACCAAAACAGAGTTTCAAGTCTTCATTAACTAATTTTAGAAGGAAAGGGAAAACCACGTCTTTTATGCCCAACTCAAACAGCAATGTTTAGTAAGAGCAGCCAACTTTGATGTTTTTAAATTCAATATATACAAATGCCTGATTTTAAGGTAATAAAGCAGCTGATTGTATCTACTACATGCTAGTCTATGACACCATGTCAAAAGCTTAAAAAAAAGAAGTTCATTTCCTTTTAGTAGCATCTAGCAGACATTGGAACACAGAAAACCTGGTATTGCCTATGTAGTGTCATAAGGTGCACAGAAGCAGTTTTACCAAGGGACATGGGAGCCAAGAGAAGTGAGAGTGTTCAAGTACCCCCATCAAAATTAGAGTTCACAAGCTATAGATCTTCATCCGCAGTTCATCTGCAGAAATTCACTTCGAACAGATGAAAGTAAAATAAAGGCATGTTAAATAAAACAGTGCCCACATAAAACTTTTTACCATGTCTTTATCAGATTTGCCTCGAGCATCTAAAAAATAAAACAAACACCACGCTTTTCCATGCTGATAACAACGGTATAACGAAGTCCAAAACAAGCTGCAATGCTGTTGGTTTTCAAAAAGCTTTTAGAACTGGAGATGAGCAGTCCACTGTAACACTATGTTTGGGTCAAGATGATGTAGCTTTTACAATTCATCCCTGCAGAAAGAAAACACACGTAGTTATACTTTTAATCCCTCTGGAAATGACATTTGAAAAGTCTTGGTCCTGTATCAGAACACATTTAAAGGCTCAAAAAAAAAAAAGGCAAAATTTCAGAAATCTCTTCAAGCATTTAGTCAAAAAGGAAAGGCAACAGCAATCTCATATTGTCTCAATTATGTGACCTATTGTGAAATACAAGTCCCTCCTCTACTTCAAATAAACCGTTTACTCAAGTGAATGTCTCCCACACCACCAAAACAAGTAATTTTTCAAAGTTACACAGCTGCCTGTCATCCAACCTCCACTGGCTCCATACTGGCAAGAAACTGAGCCAGCTTACTAGACAGTACTGGCAAAAACCATTCATGGTAGCTACCAAAGAGACGAGCATAATTGCAGTTACAGTCTCTCAAAAAAGCTGGGAATTCAGAATGTCAGGGATTGGAAGGGACCTCGAAAGATCCAGTCCATCAACCTCACATCAACATTATGAAGTCTACATCAACTGTTTTATTTCTTTCTCTGAGGAACTCTATTAGCTCCTGAAACATTAAATCATAGTGTTTGTTTTAGAAGGGGAGTTGTTACATCAGAAGGAAATTCAAATTCAAGGAGGAGAAAGGATGCTTCAAGTCTCTAAATCACTGTGATGACACAGGAAAATGCAGGCTTTTGTTCCTACACATCCTATAAAACACACTGAAACAGGGAATCCATAGAACTCATATTCCAACAGTGAAATTGTCTTATATTGGTGATTTGTTTAAATATTTCTAAAGCATTAACATTAATGCCAGATGTCCATCAAATCTGAAAGCTGTGCACTGGCACTATGAACACTGGAAAATTTAATCAGGAGCATTTGCTTTTCCCCTCTCTCACCCAAAAAGCACAAGCAATCTATAAGTATACTGCACTTTTTCTTTTAGTAAGTGCATTGCTCTCATTAGCCGAAGCTAATGTTTGAGTTAACAAAAACTTCACTAATGTGATTGCTGGCTCAGTACACATCAGTATTTCCAGCTATCATGCAAGCCAACCCACAAAATATATAGTGCTACGTGCACACAAGCAAAAGCTTTGAAGTTACAAAGGCGTTACTGTTCACAAATCATAGAGCGTGGAATGGCAACATGCACATCATTTTAAAAGCAACTGATAAGGCTTCTGCAACCAGTTCTATCTAATGCAGCTGGAATACAAATCTTATGATTTGTTAGAAAAATATTTGCATTCTTTGCACTTTGCACTGCCTTCTATAATGTAAGTACTGATAATACAGCTTCGGAGTGTCACAGAAATTGAAAAAGCAGAAAAAAAGCAAAAGGGAGGACAAATCTTGGCAGCAGTAAGATAAAATCTGTTTACAGCCAAATGTTTGGGAGGTCTCTGTATTTGCATGTTTCATGAAGTAGGTATTTGCTTTAAACAGATGAAATAAATGAACCTTTGATACAGAGTTTAAAATGCAGGGCAGGTGACTCTTAGCCAATTACTCCATTCTTCCTTAATGTTTCCAGGAGCTGTGCCACCTGTTGATATTTACATCAAAAAATATGTAAATAACAACTACTGTTACCGCTGGTTTAATCTCAACACGCCTCATAGCTGACATGATTTGCATCTGAATCCTACCACATACTCTCACAGCTTTGCAAAAGCCTGGTCTTTTACTGTACTGACAAACTCTTCTGGATCCTTTACACCCAAACTAGACCCTCAAAAAATTGAAAGCCAAAGAGAAACTCTATACTTGCTCTGGAAGTATTAAAGACGGCACATTGCCCATATACAAATTTTGGCAAAATTATTGCCAGCTAACTTAATGTATCTGAAGGTTTTTTCTTTTACAAAATGGTATTTGTACTTAGAATTCGAATGAACTACATTGACATGCCAGTGTGTTAACCAATCTTCCATTGCTTTAAGCTGTTCGTGACGAAAATGGAGAAATACATCTTAGATGTCACTTTCAAAATAGAGATTTTCATACTCTGTTCAAACATACACTGGTAGCAAGGGGATTGGCCTCCCTCACAAGACTTCTCATCCAGGCTTCACTACTTCAGAATCCAACAAAAGCATGCCAGTCCAAAACAATCCATCATCTGTGTGTTAAAATTATGCAGTGCTTATTTTTTACAGTTCTGAGAAACTGAGCTCATGCGTGCATTATTATGTGTGTATGCATGTACAAAAATGTTAAAGAAAAACATTCATAGATTCATAGCTTTTCACCTCATGCAATTAGCTAGCAGACTGAAATACACATTGCAAAACAGCATCAATTGATCTTGGCCTCAACTGTATGCTTGAGGAATGAAAACACTTGATGTGATGTTAACTAAGAGAACTGAGCTAAGGATAATGGATTCTTGAAGTCCTCTTAAAAATATATATATACGCCATTCAAATCCAATTAATTTGGAATCTACAGCCACAGGAGCCTCTCTTATATTACAGCTCTTTATTACAGAGAGATCTAAATAAGCTCTTTCAGAAGAGTAAATGAGTCTTTCACCTATCTCCACTCACAGGTTTTCAACAATTTAGGAAAGGAACTGAAATCTAAGCAGCCCAGGAAAAAAAAAACACACCACACCTCTTTTTTCTTTGATGGTAGCATAAATAGCAAATACTGAATTATTACTGGGAGGTTCCTTAGCAGCAGTTGGCTGACCAGCACTTTGGTCTAACTAATCAGAAAAAGTATCAAAAAAAGACAGGTAACCACCTCCTTTGAAGTCTACAATACAATGACAGTTATCCTCAGGAAAGGAATGGGAGTTTTCTTCAGATCAAAGGACAATTTAAGAACAGAGATACTGTAGTAACTGGACTTCAGAGATGTCTTTTCACAGAGATTTCCAAGTCTGAAGCAAATTAAACATACACTGGAAGAAAAAGTCTTTATGCCACTGTAAGGTCATACTTCAAGCTAAGCTTATCTGTTCTGATAACACCAATATATTTGTAACACTTTGTGATTTATTTTATTAAGTATTTCAGAACAGATCAAAGACTTTTAAAAAAAAATCTGGGGGGAAAAAATTGAAATCAAACAAACACACAACAAAACAATCAGTACACAGGACTGAATGAAACCCAAAAAACCTCATTACCTCTTCCTGCACTAATAGAGAAAACAGTACGGAACTGTGCACAAGAGATGAGAAGACTTTAGAATTCTAAGGTCCTAAATATACTACACCATCACCAGCAGCATGGGATAGCCATGCTTACAGAAATCCTTCAAGAAACACTATTTATAAAAATACTCATTGGTGCTATGAAAAACAACTGCTACAGTAATTAGGCCAGATGAAAAGCAGAAAAATGTGCTTTAAAACTCTGGAAAAAAAAATAGCTCAAGAAGAACATTCTTCTTTTTCAAAGCCTAAGCTCCAGATTTGAATAAAGTCAGTCACATTTGTCAGAGAAGGAAAGTAATCACAAAATGAGACTTTCAAATCCTTACACTGCGGCAAGAAATCCCCAAGTACCATGCTGACAGAACACTGCTAAGATTCAAGGATAAAGTATTAATTTGCATAACATACAGAAAATCTGAATAGTAAGCATGTTTCGCAATACCTGATCTAAGCTCACTCAGAACTCATGGTCTAACACTAATTTGTATACGGCCACTATACAGCGATCCAACAAACACTAAAATGAGGTTTCAGCAAGCAGCAGTAATACTAACTGCTTTATTTGTACTTTCTTATGGACATTTTGATATCTTAAAGTTGAAGTGCTTGTGTATCCAAATCATAAGCTATACCACAGAATATCTAGAAAAAAATAATATGTAAGATATAAAGCTGAAAAGCTGTTTTCAGAGCTCAGTACAGATCTGTGCACTTCATTAAAACAAATAACACATTCACAAGTGTTTTCTGGCACGAAGCAAAACAGGACTGCTGCTTTGTTCACTGCCATACAAACGCCTAGTGTAGTTTAAGCTGACAGCTGTGCTATGCCTGTGTTTCTGCTCATTCAGCTCAACTCACTGGAAGGTCTACTATCTCTAGAAAGGCCTTCAGAGCTTGCTGTATTGTAGAACTCAAACATATCCCCAGAGACAGGTGACAGACTTATTAACAAGTCTGAGAAAGTGTTAGGAACACTACTCAAATACACTTACACTTCACAAAAGAGGGGATTAGCTTCTCCACTTTCTGCTGCTTAGAGGCTGAGAAAAAGGACTTAAGAAGATAATCTATATTGCCCCCTAAGGATTTTACACAGCTTTCTCTTAACTTGTGACATTTCAGAAAAATAAAAAATGAATAGCTAATTAGCACTAACTTATACTATATTTATTCTTAAGTAGTATTTTACCCTTTACCCTATTTGGCAAGTTGCTTATAAAGAGTTCATTAAAAGAAGTTTAAATGTAGAAAATATTCTATTTTAAAAAACTAAAAAGTAACTTCAACACACCAAAACTAAAGAAAACATAAGCCCAAAAGAGACAAAGTGCAACTCATGCAATATTTTTTTCTGCTTTTAATTTAACTTAAACTTCGCATAACCTCCTCTTGGTGACGTAGTAATGCAAACTGAGTCACTTTTCATGGTATGGAGCAGCAGAAAGCAATGACAGCAGCAAACGCAGGCCTTGCAGTCTATCTGCTTAAAATTCACACCCTTTCACCTTGCGTGTGTGTGGAAGAAGTAAGCGGAACAGAAAATCACTTCCACCTGGACCACTGCTTCTCTTTATCTGTTAAAGGCACATATATCACTCCCATCAGAGGCTTCATTTTGACACTGCCATCTTCTAGTTTGTCATACTGTTCAAGCATCTGGTTTCCCCCTGCAGGACCAACTGGTAATATCAATCTTCCGCCAGGTTTTAACTGATCTATAAGCTGGAACACAACAGAAATTAGAATGTAACCAGCCACATAGAGAAGCTGGATCCAACATTGATTACATTGCATGAACAGCTTTGCCACATTGTTTATCTGCTATTATGCAGTAGATAACTACTTCAATTAACAAAAAACACTGAAAATGAGAGAAACGTGACAACATGGCAAAATCAACGTTGCAAAACACATTCACAGTAATTTCATGTAATTCCAAATAAGGTAAAATAATTAGGTTCTGTCAGATGCAGTTTTAGTTTCTACACAAGATGGGGAAAACATCAAAATCATTAATTGTTATTATACATTTATATATATATATTTAAACAGTAAATTCTTTTTAACCTGCCAGATATAACAGTTTGATACTTATTATTGATTGGTATTAGGCCCACTGCCTAACATTTTGTGGGGTAAATGACTCTCGTGCCCCTAGGATACAATTTGACATTTGTGACATTATCTTGAATAATTTCAAATTGTCAACACAACATGGGTTACAAAGCTTTTCTTTTAGTCTGTTAATGGAACAACATTTAATTAAACTATTCTATATGAATGTTAAGATAAGTGATAAGAAACACAGAACGTGAGAGAATTGCCTGGAAACTTCTTTTCGTTTTTATAATTAAGAAGGTGGTTAATTACAGCTGATCAGTGGTTCCCAGAAGCTGGTCAAAATAAATAAATAAGTGTGCTCTGCATTTCCAGCTGAGCACATTATTTTTCCAACAGGCCTAATATCTCAGAACCTGGGAAACAAATATTTAAATTTTGTCATTCAATTATGACAAAAACAATTTATGAAGGAAAATATTCCATTGTTGTAGCACTGATTTATACACCTGACAATTTAAAATACGTCTACAGTAATGTTATTAGAACACACAGCCTTTAGCAAACCAACCAGAAATCCAATATAGACCATACACTAACAGCATCCTACCCACTGATACTGCCAGCAGTGCAACTCTCTGAAGTATTTTACATATTTAAGTATATAAAATGGTTTTTACAGCTAAGAGATTAATGAATAACACACACAAAACATAAATGGCTTACTGCTTGGGGCACAACTGGTGCTGCAGCTCCTACATGAATTGCATCATAGGGAGCTTCTTCTGCATATCCCATTCTTCCATCTCCCACTGCAAGAAAACACTTATTTTTCTTAACCTTCTCAAAGGTTTTCCAATTCAAAATCTGCTTAGTCAAAGTAATATGAAGTCAATATAAAAATATTATCATAGCTATGAAGTAAATGCAACAAAAACCACATACACACACAGCAAGTAGCATAACACATGAAGTCAGAAAGCACTGAATTATTCTGAAAGCTCTTGGAGACATGTTCATCCAGAAAAGATACCTAAGCATATATGTGCCCAATCATTCCAACAGATGTGACTTTCCTTTCATTTACCCTCATAGAAAATACACTTTTCCTTATTTTTGCTTATGCTGTCCTTAAGTATAAAGCAGATCACAAGCCTCATACATACTTCTGAGATTTAATGGCTAAGACTCCTAAGACAAAGAAAAGACAAGCTAGGTATTCACATGGACTATACACCTATAACTGCTCTGCCAGTTGGAAGACTGAATTACTCAAAAGGATACAGAAGCAGTTTCAGCCAATGGAGAAGCACCCCAGTACAGATGTTTTATACCACCCCACTGAGCACTCTGCAATAATTCAGCTGGAAGGAAATGGGACACAGAAGAGCAGCCCTTTGTCTGTGCTGGACACACACACACACACACTACAACAGATGAGTATCTCACTTCTGAAGACATACGTGCACAGGACAAAGTCGTGTTTGGAAGCACCATTACAGAATTTGTCTTCATAGTGCCATACAACAAGTTGTCTGCATGGACCAAACGAGTTAGTCTCAATCTCTTCATTAGTCTGTAAACCAAACATGGAAATAGGGAAACCTTTTCACCCACTTTCTACTGCTTCAGCTGACAACCTCATCTAAAGTAAAGATGTATAAACATCTGAAGTAAAGACCTATATGAAAATAGCCATTCTGAAGGACAAAAGATACAAGTTTTTAGATGATCTAGGCCAGAGTTACACCTGAGCTCAAACTGAAAAAAACAAACTCATTCAAAGTTCAATGACCTCTGCTTTGGTCACATTAAGTACCTGCCATAAAAATATAGAGCAGAAAGCCTGCTCATGTACTGTATGTACTAATTCTCACAGTAAGCCTATTCCTTCTTTTAGCATGCCCACACCAGAGAGACCAACATGCCTATGATGGATTGGATAAAACATTAAAATCAGTGGAACTAAACTAATTATTGCATTCAAAATTCACAAAATAAATATAAATTACTGACAGTTACTCATGTGATACAGATATTAGTACCTATACAGATAAAGCAGCTTGCCATACTCTCAGTATTCTCAAAAGAGCAGAATGGAGGAGACTATTTAGGAGAAAAAAAAATCAGAGCCCAAGACTGTTTAAAATAACTGTAACCTCTGGCAAGTTCTACAGAAATCTACTTGTCAGAAATAAGCCTGGAACAGACAGAATCAGGCAAAAGAAATCACTTTGATTCTTCATCTATGAACTTTCGAATGCTGAAACTGTAGGTTCCTTTGAAACACAGCCAACAAAACTTTCAAAGACCTTAGTTATGTTAATCTGGCATAAATCTGTGTATTGGGTTTACATGCCAACATTCTGGTAGCAAATGCTGGGAAGGGAAAGGTGTTATAGCTTACTTTTCACTGTCCTATTCTATTTTTAATTGGCAATACAATACTTTTCCCCAAGTAGTTTGCTTTGCCTGTCACAGCAATTGGTAACTGATCTCTGCCTTCAGCTTCATCTGTGAGATTTTTCATCTTATTTTTTCCACCTGTCCTGTTGTGGAGAGGGAGTGAAAGAGCAGGTGAGTGACACAGCCAGCCAAGTCTGATAGTCAGTCACTACAATGTGACTGTGCAAACTAGCACAGAATTCAAAGAAAAATGAAGTTAAAAGGAATGTCTTTAACCATCAACTGTGTGTTACAAGACAGCCTAGAATCTGAATTAAGGTTTGAAAAATTAAGTGAATACTGTATCCACGGTATTTAGATCAAACCAAAAGAAAGTTCCGTTCACATTGGGCTTTACAATGTTCTCTCTGGAGTTCTTCAGGAAAAAAATAAGCAAATTATACTACACCATTCATAAATTCCTATTCAGTGAGTGCAAAAGTTTTAGTCATCAGTCAAGAAGAAAAAGCAAGAAGCATAATAGAGATTCTTCTCTGCTCAGCAAAAGTAGCTTGGGGTTTCCTGTCTTAGTACTGAGCTTTGACTTCTGAAGGGCAGTTACTATCATTGGAGATTAATAAAAAGGCTGAATGAATCAAAGGAAGTTCTGCACCTCTGGCCAGGAGCTGGAAACTTGATTTTTTGCATTCCATGAAATCACAAGAGAATAATTACGTGGTGACCACGGCAGGAAGATCTGGGCAACACTTTGAAATAGTTAAAACCAGAGGTTTGTTGTCTTTCATATTAGGTCCTGAAGCAAGACCCTGCATGTATGCTTTACATCCAAAGCTTACAGATAATAATACTGCACGTTTCCCCAGTTGCTGAGGTGCCCTTTAAAGTGCTTTCTTTCTGCACATCACAAATTCTGAGCAGCACAAAAGCCCCTTCCTTCACAATTTGGAGGCTTCCAAGCAGAAATCACCAATGATTCAAGAGAATTCATGGCTATCACCACTTTCACTATGAAGACAAGCTGGGCTTGTTCAGCCTGGAGAAAAGAAGGCTGCAAGGTGACCTCATTGCAGCTTTTCAGTACCTAAAGGGAGCCTACAAACAGGAGGGGAATCAAAGGGTAGATAACAGCAAGACAAGGGGAAATGGTTTTAAGTTGAGGGAGAGAAGATTTAGGTTGGATGTCAGGAGGAAGCTCTTTACAGAGAGAGTGGTGAGGTGCTGGAGCAGGCTGCCCAGAGAGGCTGTGGATGCCCCATCATATGTATTCAAGGCCAGACTAGATGGGGTCCTGGGCAGCCTGGTCTAGTAGTAAATGTGGAGCTTGGTGGCCCTGCATGTGGCAGGGGGGTTGAAGATTCATGATCCTTGATGTCCCTTCTAACTCTGGTCATTCTGTGATTCTGTGATTTCACTATCTTCCATTACTGTTACTGGTAACGAAGATGAAAATTCCAGTAATTCCAGGATCTAATCTCTCTGACCCTGCCAAAGTAGCTTATACCAAAACAACCACCTCAGTGCAGCCAAGAGTACCAATTATATTCACTTATATCCTAGTAGCATTGTAGGCCTCCTCTAAAGAGAGAGTAGTGACGTGTTACTGTGTTGACTCTGTTCCAATCAGAGAATGCAAGGGAGAAAGACTTCTTCAGCTCAGACAAGCTCAGACTGGTTTGAAGGATGCTAGACAAGGAGGGAGACCTGCATTCCCTTGGATTCATCAGCAGGTGCCACATAGAAGCCCTGGTACTCCAGCAATTAAAAGTCATCACTGGCTAAGCTGTCTTCTGAAGAAGAATGTACATACTCTGAGACTTAAACGCACTTTGTGTCCTGCCTAGAAAAGTCTGTGAAAATGATCTCTGCACACTGCATCACTGACAGCAGTAGAAAGAAGTAAAACATCTAAGGAATTTCCTCTTAAAATCAATAGCCCAAACCAAAATTACCATCTTCAGGCACATCTCTACTCGCAATCATAGAATACCCCAAGGGATCGAAGGGATCCATAAGGATCATCAAGTCCAACCCCTACGTGAACACACTTTCAGATACTAAAAGGACAACTAATTTTTTTTTTTTCCAAGCCAGCATTCACACATTTATTGTGACCCAAATTGTTACTTTATTCAATTTCTAAGGGAAAATGGTTCAAATTATGAGCTTGCATTCACAGCTTGAAAAATCCTACTCAAATTTCCCTTAACATGCAGCGTGTCAATGAACTACAATAATCACTGGGGCAGGGTAGAGGGGAAATCATTACTTTCTCACATGAAAGGGTTTTGTACCTTCTTTCTGAACCTAGATCTGATCTGCTTGTAATGGTACTCAAGCTTTCAGTGTCTCTATACAAACGTGTTTCACAGAGAACTGCAGCATGAGTACAGAACAGAAGAAAATTACTTCACTGTGCTTAGAGGAATCTCACATCTGCATTAGCAAACAGTGAAGCACAACAGCCGTAAATCCATATAGCAAAACAATTTGTGCTCAGGACTTAATGTCTGTGCAACATATGCATTTCAGAATGACTGCTTTGGTCTGGTTCTAGTCTTGTTATCTTTATGTGACCATATTCTCGGAGCACATCATCCAGTATACTTTCATCCACAAAGAATCAAAGTTTGTGTTCTCCATGTACGCTTTCATGGGAACGGTTGAGAGATTCACCTCAAAAGGCAATCTCCTGAACCAAAACAAAACCCAAACTACACTCCACAAACTAACAGACATAGCCTAAGGATACCTATTCCCCACTTTACAGTGCAGTTGTGTTGAAAAATAACGCTGAAATATCATTACAGTAAATCTGTGGTGCAACAAAACAGAAGAGAATGTTTCAGAGATACCTGTCAAAGACTAACCATTGGCTTCATTTGTTTTAATTCATACAGTTCCTACCACCAAATAACTCTGCCTTTTCAAGTTTTTTTGTTTGTTGGTTTTAAACAGCTCTATCTTGATTCTAGTTCCATATCATAATATTCGCAGGAGTCCAGCACAGCTGAAGCATTATTATTCTCCTTCTAGTTCCCATTCCAACTACTCTTCCCCCTGTATTTAATGCAACTCACAACAGAACTATTCAGAAGTCTCTTAGTTATACTGCTACATAGTCAAACATAATATTGGTGATGACATTTACTTAGACCTCCAGATTCCAGAGAGCAGCAGATTTTGTCTCAGGTATAATTAGAAACTTATGTCAATTTGCTCTTGTACAGCACCAATAGAAGTTATCCCCTTATCTCCTCTCTCAATTCTCAGTCTCAGTTACACCTTACATTTCTTCAAAAAGAAGTCATAAGTGTTCTCAGTGATGTAAAATTGTATAAGATAGTGTCAAAATACATGTGTTGATGTGCTTATTCCAAAAAGATTTAGAAGACCATCATTTATGGAAAAAAATAAAGAAGAAATCCAGGAACCAAAATGGAACAAACTAAGGTAAGAGCTAAACATCACAAACTATAATAATATTTCCAAGCACTTTCAAAAGACCAGCCCCAAATAACTCAGATCTTCAACTTTTCATAACTTAACCAAAGGAATGATGATAACAAAGGAAATGCTTTCCTCCTGCCAGCTTCGACTCTACTGAGAAAAACAGTTATCTTTCCCCCTTTAGTCACGTAACACAAATAACATTCTCTCCTTGCATAATTTCAGCATTATTTCAACTAGCAACTCTCATTTAAACTAGTTTGCATCCATTAATCACTTCCCTAAAACAGAAAGACTTAATTTTAAAAACAACTGAGAAGCTTCAAGTGATGCATATTACCAATCTAGTATTTTTTCCACTCAACTCTTTGCTTGCAGCTTTCTCAATTACTATATCAGAAGTATGAACGCACTGTTAAAGTGTCCAAATTTAGTTAACAGCACATTTAAAGCTGTGCACTGAAGCCCAACTTTAAAAAGCAAACTAACATCACAGCACTTCAGCATGAAAAGTATTTTCATCAGAGAACACTTGTATGTTGAGCTGTCATAACAGAATGAGTACATATTCCTTAAGATTATCAGAAGCCATATTCTCAAAAGGGCACAAAGATGCTATTTTTCAAAAGGCCAAAAGAATTGACCCTTTCTTTTTTAGTTAATTGGCCCTTCTTTCTTTGGTTTAACTTCTTATATCAGAGTTTTTACTCACATTCAAACTCTTTCAACCAGCTGTTAGAAAGAATACCAGTTTAAATAATAAGTATATCAGAGTCTGATGCTCACCAATCAGTTTCACTCTTCCTGAAGACAGCAATGTGGGATCGTCTTTTTTGACATTATTTATTGAGTCATCTACTAGTTCTTTGATATGATCAATTCCTACAACTTGTCCTTTGGGACCAACCTGAAATAAAAATATACAGTTGAATAAATTCTGCTAATTACGGTTTACTTATAGAATCAGAATTTCCATCTCCTCAGCCCATTTTCTCTAGTACAAAAACAAATCAGCAAAGTGGTAGTACCTTACCAATGCTATTAAGAATACTGCTTTGAATTACACGTTCTGACTGCTAGAAGCAACCACAAACTAAAGCTCGCCAGCTAAGACTTATGTTTGTTACAGTAAACTTTTTAAGAACCAATTCAGTCAATTTAAAATATTAGTGGGGATTTCTCCTCTGAATTTTTAAAAGCCAAATTATATAATGAGTATATGTATTACATCCAATAAGGGGCAAGAACTTCAAGGATAGAGTCTGGAACTAAACTTCCGTTGTGAGTAAACTTCCTTAAAAATTACTTTGTGAGTTGTTTTTTTGTTTGTTTTAAAGAGAACAACCTTATTTCAGAGAAAATAATTAAGTTGCACATTTTGTTCTAAGTTATCTCAAGGGTTCTATTCTTTCAGAGGCAAATTCAGCAGTTAACAGTTAGGAACAACTTCCATCTAACTTCTTGCATTCATGAATATTCATGAATTTACAAGGTTGGATAGTGATAGGACAAGGGGAAATGGTTTTAAACTGAGACAGGAGGTTTAGGGTAGGTATCAGGAGGAAGTTTTTCACACCACAGAGCATGGTGACACACTGGAACAGGTTGCCCAAGGAGGTTGTGGATGCCCCATCCCTGGAGGCATTCAAGGCCAGGCTGGATGTGGCTCTGGGCAGCCTGCTCTGTTGTTTGGCAACCCTGCACATAGCAGGGGGGTTGAAACTCAATGATCATTGTGGTCCTTTTCAACCCAGGCCATTGTATGATTCTATGATTTCATATTTACAGCTCTCTTCTACTAGGAGAGTAGAACTTTTGAGAGCTTGTAACTCACAAATGGTCATAAAAGATCTGTGTATTTTCAGGGGAAACATGCCTCCAAAATTAATATACTTTTTAAAAGTATCACCCAAAAAAAAAAAGTTTCCCTTCTGGAATTGTGTCTTTATTCCAGAAAACTTATTTCAGTCTTGGAGAGAGGAGAAAAGTAATCCAAATCATAGAATAAGAAAACCTTTTGCAGGATCCAGTTCAAAGAACTCAATAGCAAAATATGTTCTGGAAGTCCATGTTGCCACACAACTCTGCCTTATAATGGCCACATTTGAATGCTTCAGTAACATTTCTGTATCTTTCATTTTACTTCTTCTAAGACATGAAAAATTAATAAAACTCCCATCATAGGTAATAATCAGCTTTTATGTTTCCTCATGAGCAAGTGTACATTAAAAACACAGAAAGAGCAGTACTACCTCTTCTATTTCAACTGCAACAAGACTGGCCTAGCATGTGAAACAGAATAAGACACAGGGCAAGTTTTCACTACAACAGCTAGAGGCTACTGTTTGCAGGAACGTACCAAAAGCCGGCAAAATATTCAGTACAGACCCTTCAGGGTAATGTCACAGAAATCAAGATTCAGCAAAATGATCATATATGAAATAGCCTGATTTAAAGTAACAGCATCTCCAGCAGCATGCCATAGTCCATTATGATGATTTCTGAATAGTCATCAATCTAGATTACTCCTGCCTACTCTACTCCTGGAACCTCGAAGCATACATTATCAAGGCGATTGTAAAGCGGCAAAACCTTCGGGGTTTTTGTTACTATTATTTTTTAAGGCAGAAATACACCTTTTTTTCTTTTTTTTAAAGTAATTCCAGTACTTAGAGTTCATTTAACTTGCCATAAGCTTTTAAGTGAAGAAAGTTACCTGTGAGGCATACATACAGCTTACCAAGTTTGTGGCAGCAGTTCAACATAAAAAACAAACATCTTAACCACACTAAAGTAGATAAAATGTTCTCTAGGAATGCTACAAACGAGACTACTCTCACAGGAGTAGAGCCATCATGACATCAATGTGCACTCAGAAGCTTATGCCACAAATACCAGATGCTCCTTCTAGATCTCACACAGACTGAGAAGTATGTCCAGTAAGCGTACCTCCAACTGAATTCTGATAGGAAAAGGCTAACAGAAGCTTGAAAGTTCATTATCTGGAATGATGGTAGTGTTAGAAAGAATTTTTATACAAGAAGAAAACTGATTCGGAGCAGTATGTACTTTTACCTACATCCATTCAAGTGGATGAAGTGAGATCTGTGTTACACAGTAATAATGCTACCGACCAGAAAAAAGCATTTGTTCAATATGCTCCACAATGTGTGTTTGTAAGGCATTCCACAGCATACCACCAAGAAGGAAATTCCGGCAGAATTCAGAAGAGGAACGTGACAGTCACACAGAGATAAAAAGCATGGTTAACCTTAGCAGAATTGAAGAGATTTCCTTTTTTGTGATAATTGACTTTTTTTTTCCTTGCAGATTTTCTCAGCTTTTCTTATATAATTGTTTTAAAAGAAAAAAGCACACAACCACGTGTCATAGACGTCTCACCGAACATGGCATTTTATACATTCATCATTTTTAATGAATAAACACACATCTTTGATGAAAATGTTAACACTTGTAGGACTCAAATTCCTTATGCATGCTACTAGCACTTTGATTATCTAAGCTGGACTGACTACAGAGTTAGACTGAAAACAATAGGTAGAAAGTTAAAGAAATGGCATTTAATATTTCCTGCAGACAGCAGTTTGATGAACTTATTACACTTTTTTTTAATTTACCTTTTTAACATGACAGTTGGCATTCTTGAAAAAATGCACAGACTTTCATTAATGCATTACTGAATCCTAAACATTCTTATCTAGCTCTTAATACAGGATATGAAGATTCAACGGATCAGTGCTTGAAAATAGTAAAATTTAAGTAGTAAAAGAACAAATGAAAATTTGTCATCTGCATCACCATATTCCAAATTAACTTCAGAAAAAGAAAAAAAAGCACCAGGTTGGCAGATTAGTGAAGGCCTCTGCTAATTGTAAAGCAAAGTCCTATAACAGAGAAGGAAGAATTGATCATATTCCACTAGAAAAATGAGTCAGGAAAAACTGCAATTACAGTCATCATAAAACAAAATTTTTCATCTTTTTTTCTCTTGATGCAAAATAGGATAGACTCACTGGCAATTCCTTAAGCTTAGGCTGAATAATCTGATATTAAGTTACTAAGAAAAGATGTAGAAAGAATATAAATTAGTACTAATTTTAAGAGATTAAATAGTACTTCCACAATAAAATAAATGGAAAAAAAAATGAAACTAATTCCAAAAATTATTTATACACATAGATATATAATTAACCTGTGGAAATGGGATTCTTTTAGGTCTTATTAAGTTCTTATCACAGTAGAAAAAGAAAAATGATTATCACAATGAGAACATTCACAGCCACACGGGTTAGGATAAAAATTGGGCTAAGTGGGACAAACACCACCTTTCCTTCAAGTTATACAGCAACCATTAAACCAAGAAAAAACTTCCCATTGAGGCAGTTTCTTCACCACCAAAAGATTTACTGGACCCAAGCCTCAAGATTCAGTATGATTAGAAGTGCATACTAGCCACACTCAGGAGAGTAGTTCATTTTCTGTATAATCTACTTCAGCCCACTTTTACCCTTTAATTCAGTTATGCTGCAGTTCAAACAGTTTTGATGACCAATGATTAAATGAGATTTCTCACCATTCGTGAAAAGCATGCTGTAAGGATTCCACTTCCAGATCCCACATCAAGAGCTTTGGCTCCTTCGTGTAACTGATCGGACAGAAGTTCAAGAGCATATGCATGCTAGGGAAAGGAGACAAAATTTCAAAATATTATAATTATTTTATCCTACACATCTTCATTGCTTTGAGGCAATGCAGAGAAGATTTGCCTAAGAAATTTCAGAATTATGTTTTAATAAAACATATAAACAGCATAAGAACTCCACAGCTAGTGGAGTTAGCTATACAATATAATCACTGTTGCTTCTTTTACTTCAAGAAAACTTTTCTTTTTCTTGTTTGTGGAGAGAAACAACTGAATAAATTCAATTGTCTTCAGGTCTGGTGGTTCTCAGTTTTCTGGCGGATATAAGCCTAAGAGAATTTCCCTTATCATTACACTATATACACTGGAATACACTGAGACAGAAGCTAGCTTCACAGGATCAAAGAAAAATTATATTAGTTAATACTGCCTGCACACAGTTACTCAAGGAAAAAAGAAGGTGGCTTTTACAAAGTCTGATATCCAAAATATTCACATACGAAAATTGAATAGTCTACATCATGAGCTGCTTTGTTTTCTTACACAGTTGACCAGTACACAAACTAAACTTTCATATAGCAATCAATTCATTATTGAGACTAACAGAGTTAGTATCATCCTCTGGAACAGTTATGGAAAAGATCACCCCGGGAAATACTGAAATGCAGTTAAAGAACAGCGCAATTATCAGGTGAAGTCAATATGGGCTCCTGCGTTGGTAATCTGATCTCTTTCTTTGATAAGGTAACCTGCCTGGTGGATGAAGGCAAAACAGTGGACAGTCTTTCTGGATTTTAGTAAGGCCTTTGATACCACTCCTCACAGCATCCTTCTGGACAAAATGTCCAGCTGTGAGATAAACATGTTCATGCTATGCTGGTTAATGAATTGGCTCAACAGTAGAGCTTGAAGGCTTGTAGTGTTCAGAGTGACATCTAGCTAGTAGTCTGTCACTAGCAGCATTCCCCAGGGATCAATTCCGGACTTGGTTCTGTTCAATATATCAATGGTCTGGATGCAGGAGTGGTGCACATCCTCTGCAAGTTGTCTGGTGACACTGAACTGGGAGCTGCTGCTGATTCTCTCAAGGGGACAAGAGGCCTCGCAAAAGGATCTAGGTAGATGGAGCTCTGGGCAATCAGCAACAGCATGAATTTCATTAAACGAAAATGAGAAGTGCTACAGCTGCAATAGGATAATGTCAAATACAGGTATAGACTAGGAGACGAGTGGCTGGAGAGGAGCTCAGCAGAAAAGGACCTGGGGATACTGGCGAAAGCAGGTTTAGCATGAGCCAGTAGAGAGCTCTGGCAGACAAGACAGCAAACCTCAATTTGAGGTGCATTACATACAGGATAGCCAGACTGCTAAAAGAGGTAGTGCTGCCTCCTCTTAAATACTGTATGCAGTTCTGGCCTCCACAATACAAAAAGGATGTTAAGATACCTGAAATCGTCTACAGGAAGGGAACAAAGCTGGTAACAGGGCCAAAAAGCATGTCCTGTGAGGAGAGGCTAAAGAAGGACACTTGAGTTGTCCAATCTGGAGAAAAGGAGGTCAAGAGGTGACCTCATTACTCTTTGCAAGTTCTTGCGGAGAAGGTGAAAGGGAGGTGCTAGTCTCTTCTCTTCCTGGTAATTAATGATAGAACCCATAGAAAGAGCACAAAGCTACACTAGGAGAGGTTTCAAAAAAATTTCTTCACCATGAAAGTAGTCAAACACTAGAACAGGCTTCCTAGAATGCAGCTGATGCCCCTTGTCTGTTAGTATTCAAGAGATACTATTTAGATAATGCTGTTAATAATATGTTTTAACTTTTGGTTAGCCAAACTGCTTTTGGGCAGTTGGAATAGATAATTTTTTATAAGGCCCTCCTAACTGAATCATTCTAACTCTAGGTCTTTAATGTTTTACAGATAGCCATTATCACACTTTTACAGCTTACTCCCCTGATGGACACTACTCATAAATTGCCTCCACTTGGAATTACTGCTTTCTGGCTGCAACCATCCAACCAATTCCTTATGCGCTGTATAGTCCACAACTCAGATCCACCTCTCCAATTTAGAGATTAATCACATGTTATGGGACCACGCCAAAGGCCTTGCAGCAGGCCAGGTAGATTATATCATTAAGTCTTCCCTTGTCAACAGATGCAGTCATTCCATCACAGAACGGAAATGTTCCAGTGCTTGACTACGTTCAGTATGATTTCATCACAATAGAATTTAATCACAATTTCCCACATTGCATTGTTTGTCCACTGCCCCACATCCTATCACTGTGCATCTGCATGAAAAGTCTGGCTTAACCTTCTCTGCACCCTTCTAATACGTAATTCACAACCACATTACTGCCATCAATTTCTGGTTAAATTTGTTGGGATAAATATTTTTATTTTGGGAATGTTTGTACCATCATAAAATCATCTATGCAAGTTTAAAGCTTACCATATGTGGAGCACTGATTGTTGCTTGGAAGCCTGTAAAACAAGAAAGCAGAAGATTTGATAGTTGTTCAGACCATCATTATTGATTTTGACTGTAAAATTCAATATCTTCACTGTTAGTCTCATTCAGGACATCAGACACACACTAATGGTTATGTAAGTACTCCACTTCAGAAGTGAGTTAAGTACATCATCTGTAAGCTACGCCTCCTTAATTCTGAACAGGAAAAAACACAGTTCTATACTTGACCTCAGTTACAATTTCTATGTTGTGACTCTCTCTCCTTGGTTTTATCAAGTATGTTGAATTCATGGATGAGCTATGTTTCCCAGAATAACCTAATTTCTTTTTCTTCCTTCTTCATGGACCGTATATAAAAACCCAGATTTATTAGTGAGTTTACATGGTGGGGACCTCTGAAGACAATGACATTTTTTCCCCCAGATGCATATAAGCCTAGGAATACAGAATTATATTTGTTCCTCTAGAAATATATAAATTTTTGAGTACATACCTTCGAACATCTTTTTTTTTTTTTAAATGTCCCTACACAATTAAAATCCAATTACTATTCATAATGCTCACCATCCAGCATGGAAGGGAAAGGAGAGGAAAAAAATAATAATCAAGAAAAGAAAGAAAGAAGCACAAATTTAATTCATTCTTCTGCCTTGGAATGATAAAACTAAGATCTGGATGAGAAGTTAGTGTCCTACAACCATCCTATCAACAGATCCTCCCATTTAAAGCCTATTTTTGTATTAAAAAACATCTCATGTAAAAATCTGAAGAGCACTGTACTGATCTCTCATGAACCATTTCTGTAAAGAGAGAGACTGTTCCTGAATTGGATACAAGTGGCTTATAAGTATTTAAATATCAGCTCCACCACTACAAATTGTTGTAGCATAAAAAATATATATACTTACACATTAATATTGGCCAATAACAATCTACTGGATGTATCCAAGCATGCCAACTGTGTTCCATAAATTCAAAATGCGTAGTTAAAAGAGATTGAACAAACTAATAAAGAACTAATAAAGATGGTTCCAAATATAAAAAATAAGTTTGCAGATCTATCACAAGGGCAGTCACTGTTACACAAACTAGAACAGAGCATTTTATAGAAACTGACTTACCTATAGATTGAGGAGAATCCATATAAGGGTTGTATTTTGCATAGTGGCAACGGTCTGTAGCGAGCATTACTTCAAATACCTTGTCTGATTTGATTATTCCATTTTCTATAAATAAAACAAATCACATTGAAGGCATTCTGTTCCACAATGCAAGAACACATAAAATACATTAATATACTCCTACCGTTGTGAGAAAACGCTACCTTACTCTCTCTAGAACTCTAACCCTCATCATCTTAGAAGTTAAGCTCTGATCCATTGGTCAAACACTGCTTAAGACAGCGAATCATAAACAAGACTCTCCTAGAAGTTACAGATGCTTTTCTGAAACAACAGGGACCATTCACAAAGATGTAACTCCTAGAAATGCTCAGTTTCATGCACAGCTTTGATATTCCTGAAAACGTATAAAATAAGAAATTCATACTACTCCATACAATAAACAAGATTTACTTATTTTTTAAGTTAAGTGATCAATTATAGAAAAATAAACAAAAGCAGGTTAGCAGAAACCATAGCATCCCTGCTCAATATTGTACTTTCAAGCTCTGTTCCTCTTTTGTGTTAGCAAAAGAAAAGAGTCCCTTGAGAAGAAACTCCTACAGAATCAGAATTCTTACAATGGGGTGGGCTGAGGTCTATGATATTTTGTATCAAAACATTCTGAATCTTTTTCCTCTTAAAAATAGAAGATAAGTACAAAACACTAGAAACACTGAGCAGTGAAGTTACTTTTTTTAAGTTACAGATTTCAATTCTGAAGAGATACTTACAAGCAACAGAAAGCAATAAAAAACAAACAGAAGAAACTAACCAATCACTTTCATTAAAAGATTCAGGATAAAATCCAAATAATGGCTATTGCAATGATGGCAGCTTTACTAAGTAGCTTACTAGCTACTAACTTTATTGGAAAGTTTTACTTAGAAGAAAAAAATAAATAACGATTTGAGCGCTTTCAAAATCTAACACAAAATGCAGTAGTTTAAAAGTAAGAGTGTGAGCTCCTCAGATTATCTTAATTGAAGTCACATCAGTTTTAGACAGCTACCAACACTAAGACAACTGCAGGCTATCTTTTGCAAAGGCCGTCCTGACTGTTTACAGCGTGCTCCCATCAACTACTCTTATCAAACGTGGTTGCAGGATTTCTGTGTGTTTTTTTCTTTCTCTCAACACCTATCCCCAATATCCACTACCTGCGCCCAGTTTCATTAGCCTATAGAACAGAGAGCAAATTGATACCCCCAGAACATTGTGTTCTTCATTCTAAAGACAAACTATCAGTTAGAAATGCAATAGCAACATGCCATCAAATTATTAAGGAAAATAACAATGCTTTATAAAAATGGTCCTAAATAACGATATCTTTACCTGATAAACACTAGAAAAAGCATAAGCTTCCTGCAGTTTGCACACATTACACATCTCTCATGCTTTGACTTCATTCAGAACTGCATGCTATAGTCTTAGAAGGATCTCATTTCAATTTGTGTTTATTAATCTGAGAGACAATAGGTATTCGCAGCAGTAGTTCATAAATTGACATCTTTCCCAACCTCGCTGATTTTATACTAAGCAAAATTGTACCCCAAAGTAAATGAAAAAAATTAAATTGACAAAGTGCCAGTGTGCTATTGGGTAAGAGTCACGAGGAAGATCCAAGAAAATACAGGCCCATCAGCCTGACCTTGGTGCCAGGAAAGGTTATGGAGAAGATTGTCTTGAGAGAGATCACACAGCACGTGTGGAACAACCAAGGAATCAGGCCCAGCCAGCATAGGTTCATGAAAGGCAGGTCTTGCTTGACCAACCTCATCTCCTTTTACAACTGAGTTACTCGCTTGGTGGATGAGGGAAAGGCTGTTGACATAGTCTATCTACAGTTCAGCAAAGCCTTTGACACAGTCCCCCACAGTGTTCACCTAGAGAAGCTGGCAGCTCATGGCTTGGACAGGTACACTCTTTGCTGGGTAAAGAACTGGCTGGAAGGCTGGGCCCAGAGAGTGGTGGTGAATGGAGTTAAATCCAGATGGTGACCAGTCACGAGTAGTGTTCCCCAGGGGCCAGTGCTGGGGCCTGTCCTCTTCAATATTTTTGTTGATGACCTGGATGAGGGCATTGAGTACATCCTCAATAATACAGATGATAGCAAGTCCAGGGAGAAACACTGATCTGCCCGGGGGTAGGACAAGCTGGATCGCTGGGCTGAAGTCAGCAGGATGATGTTCAACAAGATCAAGTGCTGGGTCCTGCACTTTGGCTACAACAACCACAGGCAATGCTACAGGCTTGGGGCAGAGTGGCTGGAATACTGTGTGGTAGAAACGGACCAGGAGGTACCAGTCAATACTCAGCTGAACACGAGACAACAGTGTGCCCAGGCAGCCAAAAAAGCCAATGGCATCCTGGCTTGTATCAGAAAGAGTGCAGCCAACGGGAACAGGAAGGTGATCATTCCTCTGTACCCAACACTCAAGCACTGCAGCCTCACCTCAAGCACTGTGTTCAGTTTTGGGCCCCTCACTACAAGAGGGACATTGAGGCCCTGGAGCATGTCCAGAAAAGGTCAACAAAGCTGGTAAAAGGTCTGGAGCACAGGCCTTATGAAGAGTGGCTGAGGGAACTGGGATCACTTAGTCCAGAGAAGAGAAGGCTCAGTAGAGACCTTACCACTCTCGCTCTCAACAGTTGCCTGAAAGGAGGTTGTAGTGGGACAGGAGTCAACCTCTTCTGCGTAACTAGTGAAAGGACAAGAGGGAATGGTCTTAATCTGCAACAGGTGAAATTCAGAAAATTTCTTCTCCAAGAGTGGTCAGGCACTGGAACGGACTGCCCTGGGAGGTGATGGAGTCACCCCAGAGGGGTTCAAGAAACATTTAAGTGTTGTACTAAAGGACGTGGTTCATGGGGAAATAGTGGTGGTAGGTGGATGGTTGCACTGGATGATATCAGAGATCTTTTCCTATGTGATTCTATGATTCTACAGTAAGAGAAAAAAATAAGAGCTCCCCCAACCACTTGGAATCAGTTATATGTCAGTTCTGGGAACTAAACTAGGGAGAAAAAAAATATACACATATATACATACATATATACGTATATATATATATATACACATATACATACACACACACACATATATATGTGTGTGTATATATATAGTTAGCATCTCATTAGATATCACTAAGAAAGTAGCTTTTCTAAAATAAGTGTACCTAAAAATGAAAAGAGAGGCAGGAAAGCTGATTATAACAGGAGTAAAAAGTTCTGGGGGGGGATGAGGGAGATACAAACAGGCAGCTGAAAAGCATTCAGGAAAAATCGAAACTAGCTGTTAACTCCTTTATGATGCATTGTGCAGACAGATTGATAAGGTAACCATCTGTTCTTCCCTTTTGCACCTTGGGGAAACCAGTGTGCAGAGTATAAACAGATGAAGCTTCCAGCCTGAAAGAACTGATAAATATCTCAAGGGAGGCCCTGGGATTGGGCAAACAACCTCCTCCATTTTTAGAGGACCCCCTCTATAATTCCTGAACAAGATTTTTTTCCAAACCTCTTGTTTCACACTATCCTATGACCTGTCCTGCTGCCACTTCCCCTTTTTTCTTTTACACAACTGCACACCAGCATGTTCTCTCACCTGCTCGTTATCTTTCTACTTAAAGCATTACTAATTAAATTCCCTTCTCAGCATTTACAACTTTTCTTTTGCCTGCATTACATTACTTTTCTTATATATTTTATCCACTCCTCCCCCATCCTGTTTTATCGAGTTTTAAGAGCTCCACGGATATTTGTACAAAATAATACCCCAAATTCTGTTTCAACAGAAGTATAAGAGGGCAATTATAATATTATAATTGTCCCCCATGGCAAGAACATTAAATCTGCTCTCTAGACTTCTTTGCTTGTTTGGAGAACACCAGAATACAACACACACACGCTCTTAGAAGCGCTCTTCAGTCCTACATAGAAGTAATAAAATTTGGGAAGTAATTAAGAAAAGCAATCAAGATCTAACCAATAAAGTTAATATAGACTTTGTAGAATTTTTCTCCACGTTGATAACAAATAGACTTTTCCCTAGAATTGTGATTAAATAGAGAGAAACACAGCAACGTTAAGGTACCGAACTCCAATGAAAGTCCCTTCCTTACTGCAGAAGTCAATCCCAAGAAGAATTAAGATATTCATTATTAGTCTATCTGGAAAGATTCTCTTCTCAGATTCTGAATTGCTAAGAAAACACATATCACCTAAAAAAAGCCAGTGCAGAGAGAGTGTTCTAATTTTACACTGTCTTCAAATGAAAAAACAAACAAACAAGAATTATTTATTATTAAAATTCCAAAGCAAAATGTTTTCTAAATCTTAGAAGGGAGCTATATATCACAGAAAAATCATTTACAGTTAAGTATATAGAGGTTGATTTTCCTTTCCAATGACAAGCATGCACAGAACACTTGCTAGCTGAACAAACTGCTCAGCTTCAAGATACTCATAATCAGTACTAAAATCACAAATTAATTACTGCTTGCAAGCAAATACATATATGCAAACACACCAGTTTAGAGCTTAAAAAATGTAAGCTCTATTTATTAGTGATATCAACACAACTCAAGATTCAAAGGGACAAAGCCAAAAAGTAACCAAGAAGAAAAGCACTGCAGAGTTCAAAAGTTATTTTGTGCAGAAGCTGTGGCACCAACAACTTGACATAATTGGAGCTTGTTTGAAAACTCTACTCCACTTCTTTTCCATGAATAACACGGTGAAAACAGGAAAAGAGCTCACACAGCAGTCCTCGGGGTTGAAGGTATAAATACTACCACTGTTGAACATAATCTTGGAAACCAGGCAGTTGAATGTTGGAAAGCAATGAAAAAGCTGAAAGCTTGAAAAGACAAGATGGATATACAATAAGCAAACAGCATATCCTTTTATTGAGCAACAGAACTTCAGTACCGGTACAGGTTGGGGGATGACCTGCTGGAGAGGAGCTCTGCGGAGAGGGACCTGGGTGTCCTGGTGGACGACAGGTTGGCCATGAGCCAGCAGTGTGCCCTTGTGGCCAAGAGGGCCAACAGCATTCTGGGGTG